TGGTTGGTGCAGGCTCCTTCGGGGTGGTGGGAACTGGTTCCTTGGTTGGTGCAGGCTCCTTCGGGGTGGTGGGAACTGGTTCCTTGGTTGGTGCAGGCTCCTTCGGGGCGGTGGGACCTGGTTCCTTGGTAGTAGTGGGTACCGGCTTCTTAGTAGTAGGTCCAGCTCCCTTGGACCTGGTAGGAGTTGTTTCCTTGAGTGTTGTGGAGGTAGGCTTATTGGGGGTGGTCACAGCAGAAGCTTTGGTTGTAGTTTCAGCTTTGGATGTAGGTTTAGCAGGAACTTCAGATGTGGGTACAGAATCTCTAGCAGATGTTTTCTCCGTGACACTCCGTGTCTCTTCGGCTGAAGTTGTCTTTTCTTTTGCACTAGTGGAAGTCTGTTTATTTGTTTCAGTAGACTCTTTAGTTTCAACTGTTATCTCTTCATTGGCTGATGAAGGTGTCTCCTTGGTTGTATCAGAATTAGGTGGAAGACTGGGTTTAGGATTTATTGGTTTTACTGTTGTACTCTTGGGAGATGTGGTTACTTTATTGCGTTGGGTGGTAGCAACATCAGGAGCTGGGGTGGGCTTGGAGTCACCACTGTCCTGTCCACTTCCAGTGTCATCTACAACTGGTGGTTCTGGGTTAGGTTCCTTTTTAGGAGTTCTTTTCTTCTTATCTTTTACTAGGAAAAAAAAATAACACATCTTGTTATTTTTAATAGCGTTTTCTCTTTTAGTAGTAACATAAAGATTCCATCCTTATCGTTGGTTAGTTGTGTGTGTCTGGGGAAATTGCTAACCTTTAATATGTCCATTGATTTTATTGTAAAATGGTAAATACTCAGGTTATCTTTTGGGGGTATTTTAGAGATGAATGTATAATGCACAGGTAAAACCCTGTACAGTTAATACTCTCCTTGATAGCCAGTGTGATTAATAACACTAATTCATCTTTTTATATTAATGTTCTTTACCCCTCAATTTCTCCATCCTCCTTATTCCTCACCACTCAGGGTAGCCCCTTCTTCCTGAAAACCTGGTTCCAACATCTTATAGTTTCCCCAACCAACTACCTTAGAGCTATCAGCTGCTGTCTTTCCTCTGCCCAGCTAAACTTGCCAATCTAGGGATGATAGGACATTAGGATGCCAGGGCAGCAAAAAGACTGTTAAAGATTTTCCTTGAAGCTTTCCCGTGCTTGAGATACAAAGCCCAAAGGGCACTTCAGGATAAATTCCATTTATCAAACAAATGTATTTCTGCTGTATATAATATTCTTGAATGACAAAAGATTCAGTATTTGGTTATTCAGCTAGAGAGAATACGTCAGAGGAAATCAAACCATCTAGGAAATAGAATTCTTCAAAAATCCAGTCATAATTTATTAGGGATATAATAAAGAGGATTTATAAAATATGCATAGTAGTTGCATTGAGGCTTATAAGAATTTAATGGATTAATACTTGTAAAACATTTAAAGCACCATATAACTGTTAAATGAAATAAAGCTGGGGAAGGAAAAATGAAAACCCAAGGAACATAGTGGAAGAAGAAAACAAAATGATCAGTAGACAGGAACTGCAGTAGGACACCATAAACAATAATCACTCCTGCCAGCCTGATACAGCATCTTCTTATCCTTTGCTTTCAACAGTGACTTCTTAACATCTTGGCACTGATTTCTTACAGAAAGTGTTCATTTGGTACTTTCTAAAGTGAGTTTTATAAAGTTATGTACCATGCTCAAATATTGAGATCTCAAATTATTCTACCAACACGCATTACTTTTCAAAATTATTAATGTGGCATTGATATAGTCTTTGATCTTTATCAATGCTCAAACCTTTGGGTTTCTTCTGTAATTCTCTATTAGCAGCTGAATTTTTGGAAGACTTGATTTTCCGAATAGTTGAAGAGGAAGAAGAGGAGGAGGAAGACTCTTGGTTTTCAGAAACAGAATGTTCTATAAATCAAATAAAAAGTTTGATCACACCAACTGTGATGAAAAAAGAACCACCATTCCAAATACATTAAGAATTGATGATAACTAATCTACAAATAGCTTGTGTTCTGCTTTTATTTTATTGGTAATATAATCAAATGCCTTTTAAATTTGTCAGTTAATAAGGCACTTAAGCTTATCACACGCACTAGCAATATAACACTCTTGACTTTCCCACAGCTGCCAGAATTTCTCATAGAATCCAATTACTCTGTAAAGAAAATCATGAGTGTTTTTGGTTTTTTTTTACAGTAAGATTCATCCCTTCTGATTTCTTTCACCTAGATCCATGTTGGGTTTGGTAAATAAAGACTAAAAACCTGAGGATGTTCTTTAACTTAAATTTTGACTTAAGTACTGTAAAACAAAAATCTTATGAGCCTTTCATGAACCATAAGATTACCTTCTGAGAATACTCATATAGGTAGTTTACCTATAGGTAATTTCATCTCAGAAATGTGTAGCTACATCTGCCATCTTCCTACCTTCTGTTATTTCCTCTGATTCTACAACTTTCTTAATCTTCTTCTTTTTTGGTGATTTGGGTGAACGTTTGGTGGTTGATTTGATGGTTTGAGATGCTCTTGGAGGAGGAGGTGCAGTCTTTGAAGGTGGTGATGTGGGATTGTGCACTGAGGCCAAGCAAGACAGTTTGGTTAACATTTAGTTTATATTCATCAGCATTGCTAACTGAAAAGCACAGATGCATCTAGTTTGAAAAGTAGATGCTTGTAAAAGCCAGCACAAGAAGGCTGTAGCTCAACACAGGTCCAAATCAATTCTAAGGATGCACTGCTATAAAATACTGATTCTTACATTGTAGTAAGTTACAGCAGGAAACGAAGTCTCAGGAAACAATAGACTTAAATTCCTGTCCTAGGCCTGAGTGTTTTTACTATTTTAACCTTAAGCAAATAGGCTAACCCCTTTCGAACTTCATTTTTTGTCTGCAAATTGAGGTGTTTGGCCATCTAAAACATACTTGATTCCATGAGCTTCATTTATTCAGCCACATTTTCATGATTATAAAAACTAATAGTGTGGATGACAGGATATTCATGCTCTTGAGCAGAAGAATATAATATGTTTTTCTGACCCTTTCTCAAATAATAGAAAGTAAGAGTCATGATTCATGCCTGTAATCCCACTACTTAGGAGACTGGAGCCTAAGGATTGCAAATCCAAGCCTAGTCCAAACAACTTAGTGAGACCTTGTCTCAAAATAAAAATTTAAAAAGGGATGGGGATGCAACTTAGTGGTAGAGTGCTTGCCTCACATGTGTGAAGCCCTAGATTCAATCCTTAGCACTTGGTCGGGCATGGTGCACAACCCTGTCATCCTAGCACTTGGGAGGCTGAAGCAGGAGAATGGCTGCAAGTTCAAGGCCAGCCTGGACTACATAAATGAGATTTTGTTTCAAAGAAACTCAAAATAATACTCAGCACTGCAAAAATAAATAGGTAAATAAATGTACAGTATTTTTTAAAGGGCTGGCTATGTAACTCAATGGTAAAGTGCTTATATGGCATATGCAAGCCCCTCAGTTCAAGCTCACTACTGCAAGAAAAGAAAATATATATTTTCTCAAATTTAATGTGTATTCAAATCAAAGGATACCAATTTATCCTATTATAAAAGGTTTACATGATTATCATTCTGAAAATTTCACACCTGCACATTATGCTTTCCCTCAGAGTGTTGCTCTTCCCAATAAACAACTGGTAATAGTGTGATGTGTATGTTCTTAACCTTTTATTTGCATCCCATCTATCAGTTCCTTTTCATTTCTAGACATGAAGACATGGAACATTCTTTTTTAGTCACTAGGAACCAGAAGAAAGGAGGAGGGCATTTGAAAGATAAGAAAACAGGGCAATGGGGACTCAGGGTAGAGAAGAGTTGTTGTAAACCCTGCCGCTCCCACCAAACAGCTCCTCAGAACTCCACTGCTGTGGTCTCATGACCTGACCACTGTACTTCTTCCTCTTCTCCCAAGCAACAAAAATGCAAGTACACTACTGTATCCCAAGTTGAATAACATTTCTGACATGTACTAGTTACCTTTTTGGGGTAAAACAGGAGGCACTTGGACAGTTGTGATACCTTCAATTCTTGAAATGTTAAGTTTTTTTATTTTTAGATATATAGATGCCTATCAACAGTAACTATAGCAACCCTGAAACAACACCATGGTGAGATTCAAGTTTTGAGGGGTTTTTTAAGTTTTTTTGGTGTTTTTTTTGGTACCAGGGATCGAACTCAGAACCTTGCGCTTGCGAGGCAGGCGGCAGAACCACTGAGCTAAATCCCCAGCCGGATTCAAGTTTTTTTTAAGTGAAGCACTGAAGATGTGGGTAGTTTCTTAATTTTCAGTGGGTATTCCAACTATCTCCATGAACCCTGTAAATGAAGTTGCACTACATTGCCTTCATCAATTGTTTACACCAAATTTTACCTAAATCTTGGGTATAGCAACACTTTGTAGAATAAAATACTGTCCTTAAAATGTCCTCTCCATACTTCCTTACTTTCTAATCATCTTGTTTCCTCACCCCTCCTCTGCCGAAAATAAATTCTTAGGTAATCTTTGTCTCACAGCCAAAACAATTATCAAGATAATGAGTATGAATCTTCTACCATGGAACCTTCTGAAAGCTGCAGGAATGCTGAACTCTGGAGCTTTGATTATAAGGGTGTTGTCTCCATTATTTTTGGAATGCTTTCCAGTGAAAACACTGAACAGTTAAACATCGTTCAACTCTGCTGGTAGTTGTCTACTCTGTTTCTCCACTGGTCTAAAGAATCAGGAGGTACAGCTTTGTTTAAATAAAATGATAAGATTATGTAAACTGCTTATTTTTACTTTTACCTTCATAAATATTCTTTTTTTAAAAAACAGAACAAATACTTGGGTAAAGGAATCTATTGTTTAAATATATTTTTTAAATATTTGTGGGGAATGTCTGGCGGATTTAAATGAGAATATTTGTTTAGGACTTGACCAGAGAAGATTTTTAAATGAGGCCATCCTTTTTATTGATCCTATCATAACAGACAAGTGTCTGGATAGTGCTGAGGGGACTGTAAGAACGGAAAGGAACATGTAATTGACAGTTCAATTCTTGGCACATTTGCATGCAAATTTAGTGGCTTAAGCTAATTTATAAATTTACTTTTTCAGAGAAGCTGTGTCAGTTCTGTCCTTAAATAGATACTCGAATATTCAGATCCAGACATACATAGCTCAAAGAACAGTTGACTTCATGGAGTCAGAACCATTAGGGTGAAACAAGAAATCATTAAGGTGTGGTTATTTTTGGTTTAACCTGAAATAAACCAATTTGAAGGAAAAAGCGTACACATTCAGTGCTTGTCTCTGTCTTATGTGCCCAGAGCCTGGCGGAGCCAAGGGATCCTGCTGCCAGAAGCTTCTTTTCTTTAGTTCATCTTTATGAAACAAAATTATTACAGAATAGCTTACACATTAGTACATTCAATACCGAGATGGACCACCTGTCAGACATGATCAGTCAACCCAAGGTAGGTGTGCAGATCTGGCTGTACTAAGGAGCACTGACTGCCACCATGATGCTTACCTTCTGCACAGAAACTGCTATAATCTGGACAGCACTTGCCATACTTCTCACACTGGGTGTCGCAGTCACATTCCCTGCCTCGGGCAAAGGACTCGAAGCAGCGGCCTTTACAGGAAAGCTCTACCCAGAGCAAAACAAATGAGTTATTGATTATAAAGCCATACTCAAATATTTAGTAGTCCTTTCCCACCAAGCTGCATTCTTAAGTCTTCTATTTGGTATTTGGAGCATATCAGCCAGTGAAAATGGATGATGCCCCAAAAGGAGATAGCTCAAGTCACAAATGCTGACACACAAAGGTTCCTTGGCCTTCAAGGTGCCATTAGACACCCCAGTGCTGCCTGAATCACTTACATCTGTGGACTGCAGAAAATTGGAAAATGTTTGAATAGTGAAATACTCTTCATATGAAATCCTTCTGTTCTTTCCTCCTCACATCATTGATTTGCATTAATGTTTATATCTAGAATTGCCTGGATATAAATGGTTCACTGTTCAGGCTCAAGAGACATTTATGAAACAAAGACTTTTACTATGGCAAACTGGGAAACTTATAGAGTTGAAAGATTTCAGGCTGGGTGTAGTGGCATACACCTATAATCCCAGCATTCTGGGATGTGGGAAGATCACAAGTTTGAGCCTAGCTCAGATAATTTAGTGATTATCAAGACCTTGTCTCAAAATAAAAATTAAAAAATTATACAGGTCTGAGGATGTAGCTCAGTGCAAATGCCCTGGGTTCAATCCTCGGTCCAAAAAAAAAAAAAATTAGCCTAATCCCATTGGTGTGGATGATATTAAGGAACCTGTTCATTTAAAGTTTTAGTCAAAAGTACAAGGCTTCCCAAGACCCACTTAAAATAATAACTTAGGCTGACATGTAAAGTGTGCAGTAATATAGTAATTAGCTTCACACAAAAATTCTAAAGCAAAGCTAACCTTTGTAGAATTTTAATTATAACTTTCATAAATTGAATATGAAATGTTTCTGAGTCAAAACAAAATGGCCCAAAATATGTTCAAGTTAAATCCCAGTCATAATTTAAGATCAAACTCTGTTGAGTTTTAACTGAAACTCATCATTATTAAAAACTAGTACTTCATCCTTAAAAGGTGTCCTTTTCAAGTAATTTAGAAACATGTTAATACCCCAAATGTCAAATAATAAACAAGATTATTCTGTGCCCATGCACCCTTTTGATTAAATATTGAAAAGCCCCATCACTAAGCAGTTACATATCTGGTTGTTGGTACAGAATTACACATTACTATTTACTTAACGGCTCCTGAGTCACAGTATATTAGTCTTTATTTAAAACAAGAAATTTCACTTAGAGCTAGTCAATGATTTTGTGAAAGTGACAGAGCTCCAGTCTTGGCATCCCCACCCCCAGTAATCACGAGCTTTGACACCATCCTTAGGAACAGAGCTCTGCAACATTTATGCAAGTGAAGGGAAAGGCACTGGAGCAAAGGAAGTGAAACAGAGGGAAAGCAGCACAGCGACGGGTGGCAGAGGAAGCTCACAGAACAGCTCTTCTTGACAGAGGAGGCACCGCTCTCGGGACTTACCTGTGGTGCAGACTTTCTTGAAATCAGGACAGCACTCCATGTAGTGTTGACAATTATAGTCACAGTTGCAGGTGGCATCTCTAGAATACCCTTCCCCACATCTCCCTGCACAGCTTGATAGATCTAAAATTATACAATACTAAGGTAAACATGGCCAAACCACTCTTAGAAAGGGAGAGACCTGATAAGGAGGACAAAACTGATTGATCGGTGAGGAATAATTTTACTGGCTGGAAAAGCTGAGAATGGTGATGGGCGATAGACCTAGTTGGCTGATCTCTAATGTGACCTTGATCATGACTCTTTATTCTTTATCACCTTGAGAAGATAAATACACTGTTGAAAACCAGGCAGAGTAGTGGCTTAATCTGAAGAGTGATGTTCTTGGGGAGAGACAGCAGCTACAGCTAATACTGAGGCAGGCTTTTCTGTGGTGGTTACTAGTTGCCATCCGTTGAGCATTGTTGTGCCAGTACTGAGTCATACACTGTGTCTAATGCTTATGAAAATGTCTCCCAGAGGCTATTAGTAGCCCTTTGAGAGATTTTTTTAAAAGCTGAAACAAATTTTAATAACTTGTTCAATGACACAGAGCTAGTTAACAGTTCCAACATATATGTATACCTACTAATCATTTTTACTGATCTGTTTTACTCTTGCAAGTACCCTTATGTGGATAGCAAATTATATGATCATCCTAAATAAACCACCTATCTAGAATTTGAGCTCTGATCCATCTGATTCCAAAGCCCAAGCTTTTTACACCCAATAACATTTCTTCTCATTCCAATGATGAGTTTAAAACAAGCTAGTTATGTCAGCATTGACTTTACTCGGGGTTTTTTTCTCCTTTATTTGTAGGGATAATAGAGAACCCTTTAAATAGCATCTGAGCATGAATATAAATGTCACAGAGCTTTTCTGGACAAACAAACAATATCGAAGGTGTAATTACCCTTCAACATTTCTAAAAGTCATAAATGACAAATTAAATGCTTCCCTAAAAAAGTCCACAGGAATGTAACAATGGAATTCATCTCTGGAATAGAAATTGGTAGATGCAATGTCCTAAGTCCACAGAGGAATGTTGAAACACACTGAAAAAAAATCTCAAAAGGAGAGAATCCAGGAAAGTTAAAGTCTTTATGTGCACATAAACAATAGAGTAGGATCACTTTCAGAAATTTTTGAATACATACATGTGCACAGTACTTACAAAAATGCATATATAGTGTATGTATATACATACATATATTATATACAATGAAAAAAGAATGAGAAGCAATTCTGAAGGCAAGAGAAGCAGACAAAACAGCATCACAAGAATGTTCTTTTATATTTGGCAGATTTCTAATTAGAAATCACTTATCTTTATGAGAAAAGTTAATTTTCATAGATTAGATGTCTGTGCTATTTTCATTGCTATTAAATTTAATGAAT